TGTAAACATCCACTCCCTGTGCATCTTGACCCACAAGGCACAGACTGATAAATAACTTCTTCATATACACAAAAAAATGACCAGCAATAGGCTTAATGTAAATCAAAAGCACATGGAAGGTATATTGCAAACATCTGAAAAATGAAGGCTGTGAGAATCAGAATTTTCTCGTGCCTCTGAAGGAGTGACCCAAGACTGTGATATGGCAAACACACTGACCAGTCACAAGGTCACTCATCACAAACCATCTCCATGAAAATTGCCACAACTAAGGAATTGCATCTTGTATTGGCTAGGTATCTGTTGCTTTGATAACACATGGACCAAAACCAACTTGGGGAAGAAAGTGTTGGTTTGGTTTTTACTTCCTCATTATAGTCCAACTTGGAGGAACTCAAAGTAGGAACCCGGAAGCAGTACATAGAGCACAGACCATGAAAGAACACTTCTTACTGGCTTGCTCATCACGGCTTGCTAGCTTGCTTTCTTATAGAACCCTGGAGGAACTGCCTGGACAAGGCACAGTGCCGAGTGGCCTGGTTCCTCCCACATCAATCAATCAAGAAAATACTTCCACAGACTTGCCAACAGGTTAATCTGATGGAGTTATTTTCTCAATTGAGGGTCCCTCTGCACAGATGATCCAGTTTGTGTTAAATTGGAAAAAAATAATCAGCACACTGCTGTTCCCTGGACTTCAACCCTCACCCTTTCTACTGTCTGTGGTATGCATCCCATTTAAAACTGGCTGATTGTTGAGCTTCCTATAGCACTTTTTAAATTGGTACCTTTCAACCTTAGAGCAATTTTATGTCTACCTTGCAGTTTATACAAGTAAACTTATCTGGTCCCCTGTAGGGCTTTTGCTTACATTTGTAGCAGCTCACAGCCTTCAGTGAAATCCTTCTGAACCCTGCTCCACACAGTTTTTTAACCCTTTCTTATTCATTTTGCAAGCACACTCTCTATGTGTATGTCACACACACATACACACACACACACACACACACACACGCATAATATAATACTGTGTTCAGTTTGATATGTAATCTAAGAGTTAATATTTATACTCATGATCAGAATAAAATTGCCTGTTATTGCTAGTGGCCACTATCATATGAAATTCAGATCATTTATATAAATATGTCCCTCTATATCCCTGATGTAGAATACTCATTACTTATGCAAATCTCAATCTCTTTTGATTTTTTTAAACTAACTCTTAAATACATAAATTTAAAAAGAAGTAAAGACAAAACTGGGTGTATTATCAAGACAACAGAAATGTAATACAATATGCAATTCCTTAGCTGCGGTAATTTTCATGGAGATAGTTTGGATAAAGGCTTATACATCGTCTTGATTTTCTTAGCAAACCAACTCTTTGTTTCATTGATTCTTTGTATTTTTTTCTTTGTTTCCATTTTATTGATTTCAACCCTCAGTTTGATTATTTCTCTGCTCCTCTTGAATGAACTTGCTTCTCTTTTGTTTTAAAGATTTTAGGTGTGTTGTTAAGTTGCTAGTATGAGGTCTCTCCAAGTTCTTTACGTAGGCACTTAATACTATGAACTTTCTTCTTAACACCATTTTCATCTATCCCATAAGTTTGGGTATGGTGTGCATTCATTTTCATTCACATTTCTTTGGGGGAATGTAACCATTTGTGTGGATGGTCCCAAACTCATATGTGCATGGGTCAGCATTAACTAGACACAAGGAGTTGATGAAAACAAAGATAATGATGTTATTGGTGATGATGTATACAAAGAACAGAGGGAGATTGGTTGGAAGGTCTTAGATGTGTTGGGGGGAGTTAATGAGGAATAGTATGATAAAAATATATTGTGTGTATGCACAAAAGTTTCAAAACATTAACAAAAATGTTATTTTGAACATTACAAAAATTTTAAGTAAACAGTTTGTAATACTTGATCATATAGTATTTTTTCATCATATAGAATATTGTTAGGTCAAGTTATATTTTCTTCTTTCTTAATATTGTTTGAAAATGTCCATTTTCCTCACTCCAGCTGCTATATATCACTAGCAAAAATTTGAGATTGTTTACTTAAATAGAAAAAAAAGCCCTGACTTAATGAATTACAAGGAGATACTGGGCTGACTTATCCAGCCCTAATAGAAGTCTCACTGCAACTTGATATAACATGGTTGGTTGGTATCCATGGGAGGCCTACCTTTTTCTGAAGAGAAACTGAGGAGAAGGATCACATGAGGAGAGGAAGAGGTGATATTTTATTTTCTAATGGCATTCTGCCCTATAATAAATTGGTGGTGGCAAAAAAAATCTTGCTTTAGTTTTCTTGTTTAGCTAATACCCATATAATTCTTGACTTTGGAGGATAAAGTATAAAAATATGGAAGTCAGTCTAGCCATGAAGCAGCAAGCTTTCATCTCAGTGTTAGGAGTCAGAAGCAAAGGGAACTCTGAGTTCAAAATCAGCCTATTCTACAGAACAAGTTCCAGGCCAGGCCAATCTATTAAGGGAAACCCTGCCTTAAAAAACAAAACAAAACAAAACAAACAAACAAAAACAGCAGTAAGTCATATGGAGAACTTGCTGCCAGGCATCCTGACAGTTGTGCCAGAGAAAGCCCAACTGTACTGTGGTTTCACTGATGTTCCTACAGTTAGAAATCAAGACTTGAAAGTCATCTTAAGATACAAGAGGACAAGTGTATCTTGTCAGCATATTTTAAAGTTCAGCAAAGCTGGCAGAAGGTGTACAAGGACTGATTGGCAGGAGCACAGCAGGCTTCATCATAGTTACCCTCCTCGCAGTATTGAATGATCTGAGACATGAGAATACTTAACTGCTCAGTCCTACATTGCATCACTTTCAGCCACACATGGCTAGCTTCTGAAAGTGCTGCCATAAAAAGGGAACAGGGTGAGTAAGCTCAGGGGTTAAGACAGCTGCCCTCCTCCTATGACATATAGGTTGTAGGGGCTGTGCACTTCTGACATGGTAGAATGGCAGTTGTTCTTCACTAGGCTGCCACAGAAGCTACTTTTTGTCTTCCCCTCCCCAGTTTCCACAGACACTACTTAATGTGTTTCTTAGAGCTACCTCCCAACAATGACTAAGTGGAGAATGGGAGCTGAGTGAAGCAGAGACAAGGGTTTTGTTTCTCCTGTCTGTAAGCAATTGAAGATGCCCCATATAATTCTTTAATCTGCACCATCAAACTGCATTGGTAAACTTTGTGACAGGATACATCCAAACTAGGACTGTATGTACAGTTTGGAACAGCCACCATTGCTGATAGAAAATTTAAATATGCTTTCAAAGCCATCTTTTCATTTTTATAAATAATTCTCTTCCCTGATTGTATAGTGCATGGTACTGATTTTCCAATTTCAAAGCATATTCAGTAACTCCTTATACAGTTTCCCTTCCCATATAGTCTTTGATCTCCTTGCATAGATAATGTTAGGCCAATAATATATTTACATTTGTTAGAAAAATGGAATGTATGCATTCTTAACAGGCAGAAGCTGTTTTCATTTGTTTGTTGTTTACATATTCAGTATGGATCTAATTTGTGAAGGTTTTGAAGTGAATAGGAGAGCTAGAGAGATAGTTCGGCTGTTAAGAGCAGCTACTGCTCTGCCAGAGTGCTGGAGATTGGTTCTAAGCACCCATATCAGGCACCTTATAACTGCCTGTAACCCCAGCTCTTTGGAGTTATTCAATACCTCTGGGCTCCTTTGACACCGCTATACACATGTGTACAAACACAAATGCACACATGTACAGTAAAAGAAATACACACATACACAATTAAAACAATAAAATTAAACACAATTAAAATTAAAAACAATTAAATTAAAAACAGTAAAATCTAGCCAATCGTAGTGGCACAGGCCTTTGATCCCAGCATTTGGCAGACAAAATCTGGTGAATTACTGTCAGTTCAAGTAAGCCTTGGTTGACAAAGTGAATTTCCAGGCCAGCCAGGGCTTCACTGAAAGACTGTTTCAATAATAGATAAATAAACAAAATCTATATCCTAGCAAGTATTTTTAAAAACATGAGTGTCTTAGTTTGGGTTACTATTGCCATGGTGAAGCATGATAACCAAAGCGACTTGGGGAAGAAAGGGTTTGTTTGGCTTATAATTTCATATTGCTGTTCATCACTGAAGGAAGTCAGGACAGGAACTCAAACAGGGCAGGAATCTGGATGTAGTAGCTAATGCAGATGTCATTGAGAAGTGCTGCTTACTCACTTGCCCCTTGTAGCTTTCTCATAGAACAAAGGAAAACAATCTTAGGGATGGCACCACCTACAATAGGCTGGGCCCATCAATCACTAATTTTAAAAAATTCCCTATAGGCTTTCAGGCAACTGGATCTTATGGAGGCATTTTTTCAATTGCGGTTCCCTCCTTTCAGGTGACTTTAGCTGGTGTCAAGTTGCCATAAAACTATCCATCACAGTGAGTAAAGACTTCTCCAATTGGAATGATCACTCAACACGTTTATTAAAACTGAAATTATTATTTTTATAGTAACATTTTCAATTTCCTGAACATATTTGAAATTAAACATATATATATATGTAACAAATTAAGTAAAATTTGATTAATGTAAAATGTTTTTAATGTATCTTTTAACCACCAAAGTGTCCTATTCTGCCAGTCTTTCATGTGTCTAGTGTTTTTGTACATTCTCCAGATTGGGTGACATTTTTTAAGCACGCTTTCTCTACTGTATGTAGAGAGATAAGTGTGAATATAATTATGATTATGCAGTACCTACAAAAACACCTTGAATTTGTTTCTGGCCAATTTATACAGAGGGTTACAAATACCCTCCATTACCATTTTAATGATAAGCAATCTTAAAGCTCATGGCTGCCTCAGAAATAACAGAATAATCAGAAAAAATTATTGAGTCCCTGCAGCCTGGCAAGCAAGCACGCATGCGTGATTGCAGGGTTCTGCAGGCTCACTAGCACAGGCTGGGGGTTGGGAATGTGATGAGTCAAATCAGTGCAGCAGCAGGTCCTGCTCAGAAGAGAGGGAGTCAAAGATGCCTGTCACATCCACCTGAGGAATGGTCAGCAAGACAATGCAGCAACCAAGGTCAGCTCCCTCTGGGCCCTGTTGTATGTTTCATAGATAGACATCATTTTGAACATTAATTATTGCAAATCTGTATGGATTAGAACATTGTTGTATAGATTTAAAATCTTTGGCTCTGAGGAATCAGATCAAAAAGGTATCAGATCAGGACCTGGCTTCCTTTGTCCTGCCCTGTGTTGTATTAGCCATACAATGCACGTCCCCTTGCTCCCTCAATCTGCCCGGTCCAGTTAGCTCAGGTCTCTTTGTGGGCACACATTTATATTTCAAGGATGAGGCAGTTATGGTAGATTATCAGTGTGTTGGAGTAAGAGCAGTAACAGAAAAAAAGGAATAATTGTTGTGTTATGGTGATGTTGCACAAATATAACAGTCCTAATAGAAGATAAATTAGGTGTCTGCCTGGCACTAAAGGATGTGAGAAGATGAAAGCAGGTGAAAGGAAGCATACAGATGAACAGGCAGTGTGTGGGGGAGAGGGAGGGAGTGTTGGTGTCTAGCAGACCATGGTAGTTTTTAACTGCCAGTTTCTGAATGGTTGGAGGATAAGGTAAATGTAAGTTCTGACACTATGGTAGTTAAAATAAAGGAGAGTGGTTTCCAAAGTGGCTATAAGAAAGAGTTTTGGACAGAGTGAATTGGAGAGTGTGTGTGTATGTTCCATGAGTATCAGAAGTGAGTGGATGCATCTGCCAAAGGCCATTGTGTGGAAATGAGAGGTATCTGTCACATATGGGCATACATTCTCCCCAGAAGTACAGAATGACAAGCATTTTTTCCTGTGATCTTGTAAGGTGGTCTACTTTGAACGTTGCAAACAAGCTTCCTTGTCTTCATTTCTTATTTTTATTTTTGTAATACTGTCGAGATATGATGAGTGTTGTATTGTTGATTGTTTGGGAAATATTTTGTTTGGATTCGTCATCTACTTTCCTTTGCTCAGATCCCCTACCTTGGTTGGAGTCTATAAGATATGCAGATGGAATATAGAATTTTCTTTTAAGCGTCCTCTGAGAGTTAAGCCCATGGAGCATGTCTCCTTTCTTTTTGTCAATATATTTTGTTCTTCATTTCAAAATTGTATTTGCATTTAAGGCTTCAAAAGGTATTTTGAAAATTCAGGGGTGTTGTTCCCCATTCTGGCACCACTGTTTCCAGAAGTTGTCACTTCACCAGAGGTGTTAATTAACACAGATATAACAGAGTAGTGTTGATAGTCTGCTCACCACAGCCTGAGATGATAGATTTTCATGCCCCATATCACCCTACCCCAATGTACTAAAATAAGGTAGGGAACAGGGAACTATCTGCACCAATAAATATGCTAATGTGGCCTGGGAATGGTGGCTGCAATGCATTTGCTCTGGCTATAGCAGCTAATTCTTGTGCCTACTTCCTTGCCGTGTCTCAATGGAAAGCTAGTGGAATAATACCGGTTTGTACAAATTGTAACAGTGAGGTTAGCAGCAGACCCATTCCACTGTGCTACAGTGAAAAGAGGGGAGCTGAACTCAGGAAATATCAGGAATTTATATAGCCTCTGTTTGCATGGCATGGCAGATACTCCATGATACTGCTTTTTTGTATTCTAGTAAACTAGAGTAGTAGATGTCTGTAGCATCTTTGAAAGATGCTGCTTTAGCCAGAGAAGGATGGGTGCCATATACTTCCTCTGGTTGCCACAAGAGTTGCTCCTTGTGTCTAAAGAGGCAAGGACACTCAGGACCTGCTGTGCTGCCTTAGGCAGTCTTCATGACTGCTAGAGATTTTGATTTTCTTTTTCAAATATACCTGTTCATTTTTATAGCCATTCCTTTATTTTTTATACATAGTGTTTCTCAGTGGTCAATGAGAAATTAAGTAAAGGCTTATAAAACGTCCCTTATATCTTATGGATTCATTTCTATAGACACAATACTAGTAAGAAAAATATTTATCTATTCATAATTTAAGCACCTGCATATATCCAAATATGAAGACACCACTAAGTTTATTATGGATGCCTTTATTCAATGCCCTTGGTAAGCTAAACTAGGATGATCAAGACTTTGAAGCCTATCCAAGCTACACAGTATTTAAGCACCAACAGTACTACCTATTAAGACCTTATTTTAAATAAATAAATAAATAAATATTTTAAATGGGACTGACCAAATTCCCAGCATACATCAGGTAGATGAACTCCACCTTACTGAGGAACTACTGTCAAAAACACCTGGAATAGGAAGAATCATTATTTTTGGAGGATGTATAATTTTTTTTGCGGGGGGTGGGGGGTCCCTTGGGCCAGTGGATGTCACCACATCCATACACATATGTGCAGAAATCATCAGACTTATTGGCTTATCAAAATAAAAATAACATGTTGGAGGGGATACATGGGAATCATAGGGGGTATGAAGTTACATGAGATCATATTTCATTGCATGCGTGTACAATATTCTTTTAGAATATTGTTTCAATAAGAGTGATAACATTTTTGTTGATTAAAATTACTCTGAAAATAATAGTGTTGTCCAGCAAAACATAATTCAGATTTGGATGTAAAATATATGCACTACATTCAACAGTGGTGAGCACTATTGAAGAAATGAATTCAATGTGAAACCGGGAGCTGATTATTTTAGTCCTATCTTTGAAATTTTCTTAGAGTACTAATCATACTTTTACAAGGATGATCCTGTTAAGTTAAATTAGATTATAAAGGAAATGCAGCAATGTAATTGCTTCAAAGGAGCAAAAATGTAACTGGAAAATTATGACTATGCTATTGGTGAAAAATCTGTGATAAGATTGAAATGCTCCAATTTCCTCTAATCAGCATTTTCAGTGCAATTGGCCACAATTAGTTGGGATATGTGAAGCCTTATGACAATTAGAAGGAAAACAAAAAGGTTATCAAAGCCTTTCATTATATATCTTATATATTTATGGATATAATCCAAATATTGATTCTGTTAACTGTAATAAGTAGTAATCATCATTAATTTATTTGGTTCTGATTAATTTAACAATAAAATCTTTACTTTCTTTTTCCTGTTTTACTGCTTTTTTTAACTTAGAGAAAATCTCCTGTAAAATTACTTCTAAGATAAAAATATTTCATGCATTATGACCCCATAGAATTGCCCTGTTCTTGTTGTCTGTAGGATTTGTATATCCAAAGGTATAGTTGAAAATTTCCATTTGTAAGTGCATAATAAAATATTCTGTTGCCAGGTAAGGACTTTCTTCCTTGTTTGTAGCTGGCTGTTTTCTCATTCTGATCCCATTTAACTGTCTTTTTCTCTTGAATAAAGGCTAAATCTTCCTCTTTGAGGACTTTACTATCAAGGCTTATTTATCTCTCAAAGCCTAGCTTCCTAATACCATGGTACTGTGGGTTAGTATTTTAACATTAAAGTGGAGGAGATGACACACTAAGCCTATGAAAGACATCAGTAAAGGACATTTCCTCTTATAGCTGTTATCACATTTCTCATGAAATATTTGCATAGTCTACTTTTCAGCTTTTCTAGAAAAATGGACAAATTCAGATCATTTTAAGGTAAGGGAACATCTACATTTTCCAGGGTTTTTTAATTATCCATCATCTATGCATCTATTTGCTCATCAATGTAGCTAGCTATCTACACATCTATTATCACTATGATAACATTTTTTCATTTGAGATTTATCCTAATAATAGTTTGAGATAGATATTCCAATTTTATTATTCATAAGGATAATTATTTTACCCAACTTTATGGTATTTTATTATTTTTTTGAGAATTTCATATGTAAGTACTTTATTTGCACCATTTCCCTTATTCTGCCTCTAACTCTAACTCCTCCCATGGTTCTTCCCATTCTCTCTCAAATCATCTCATTTATTTTTATTGTCACACATATATATGTTTATGAACACACACACATACAAACATAAATACAACTTGCTGAGTCCATACAATAGTTCTTATGTGCATAATATTTTAAGACTAACCACTTGGTTTTAAATATGCAACTAAGGCTTCATCACTGAGGAAGACTGGTTCTCCCTCTCTCAGAAGTCACAAGGTGCTTGCAGATATTCATCCAGGAGTTGGGTCCTGTGAGATTTCCCCCATAAATATTTATATATCAATTGGTGTTGTCATTATTCTAGTATTTTTAAGTGACCACACTGTTGAAATTTCATGGGTGAAAATTTCCTGTCATATATAAGATATATATATATATATATATATATATATATACATATATATATATATATAAAATCTTATAGCAGATGCCATGGTTTTGTGACTCAAATAAAATATAACATGAAAAGGAACTTAATAGTTACTTCAATTGCTAAAAATATTTGTCATGCAAACATGAGGCCCTGAGTTCAATCTCCAGAAACAATGTAAAACAGTAAGGTAAGGTAGGTTGAACCTGTAATCCAGTAGAGCACATTTAGACAGGCAGATCTTTGAAGCTCATTTCTAAACTGTCCTATCCTACTAGGTGAACTCTATGCTATCACATGACCCTAACACAAAAACAAGACAGATATTACCTGAGAAATGATACCTAATATTGCTTTCCATTCTCCAAAGGCAAATATAGATGGGCACTCAGGCACATAATATGTATACATTCTTACATACGTACAGACATACATACATAAATGGTATAATTTACTATTAAGGGACACACCTTTAGGAAAATTCTAGCAGAATGTAGGTGTTAATAACTGATAGTAAACAAGAAAATGAAATGAAGTCTATTCACCATTAATTTTTCCTTGGTAACTTGTCTTTTAATTTCATAACTTCCTTAATGTTACACAAATCCTAATTGGTCTTAATAAAAACCCAGAGCCAGTTATTAGGGTGAAAGTTGAAAGATCAGAGAAGCAGAGCTAGCCACCTCTTAACTCACCAACTCCTAAACCTGCAAGAGCCTGAAAAGATCTGAGTTCCTGTCTCTTCCCACTTTATATTCCTTTCTCTGCCCAGCCATAGTGTCACTTCCTG